ACAGATGGTGGGATAAAGAGGATCAAAGTTATCATAACGAAGCAGCAACTTGAGCGGTTGGTGAACAAACAGATCTCCGTAGAGGATATACTATCAGAGGTTCAAACGTTTGGTGTTAAGTTTCTGGACAATCGGAAACCCAAATTGGACTCTATTCCCGAAGAGAATGAGTAACATACGACATAGAAATCCTAGCTATTTCTCTAAATTTTCTGGCTGTTTCACCTTTCATTTCCCTTTTTCCTTGGTTATAGTACCTTCTTTCTGATGTAGTCGCAGGACTTGTGGCCGTTGTTGTAATGCTTTATGTTTTCCTCTCTTTTTTTAAGGAAGTTTGGTTGTAAAAACTGATACAAATATGTAAAGGTAGACAGAGAACCTAGCGTAGAAAAATATTTATGGGTAGTTTCTAAATTTTGCATTCCCTTTGCATTGGTACAGGTTTCTCATTAAGTTTTATTTTGTCACGGATTAGTTCTGCAGTTCCTACTTTCTTCATATATTTAACTTGGAATTGTGAGGTTAGGTGATTAAACTCTTAATTAAGATATACACATGCTAAGGATTAGTTTCTTTTCACATCTTTTTCTGGCTCATAACCAATTCGATGTTCCAAAGACATGATTTAGTAAAACAGATTTTTCATCTTCTGACATTTGCTAGAAAATTTTACAACTGAAGTTTATTTCAACTTTTTCACACACTTATACCACATATTTTACCCGTACAATGGGTATGTACGGTAGAATACATTGTTGCTAAGCACAAAGCCTAAGCATCTCAATGAACTTCGACATCAATAACCTTGCGTTCAACCTTTGTCTTAGGAATGGTGATATAGAGCACGCCATTTTTCAACTCTGCCTTGACCTTGTCCTTCTCGCAGTTATCTGGAAGCTTCAAACGGGTGTTATAGGAACTATAGCTCCTGCTGGACCAAGAGTCATCACCACCTTGTTCTTGTTCACTCTTGCGACCACCATTTATGACAAGCACATCGTCCTCCACTGATACCTTAACATTTTCCTTAGAAAGACCTGGCATGTCAAACCTCAGTCTGATCTCATGTTCTTCATCTTTGATGTCCCAAGGGGCACGAATCTCCCCTCCTCCCACGTTTCTTCCGGGGAATGTCATGGTATCTTCGAAAATTCGGTCCATTGTATCCAAAATCTGGCGCATACTCCTCATGGGTGACCACGGGTCCAAGAGACCTGCAATAGGCCACACTACATGTTAGTCTACATGTTTAACTATGTTGGAAGCAAGTTCAGGTAAACGTAGCTACCATCACTTTTCCCCACTCAAAGACAGGTACCGAATTATAAACTTACAACGGATCACTTAAATTTCAAACATTGAAATGTTCTTTTCATATGAGTTTGCTTAGATTTTAGGTATCTGTAGAAATTGACTCAACTAGGATTTTTCACTTTTTCTATAGTTATTTCTCTTCGTTATGCTTGTCACGGTTTCTGGATTCAGGTTCAAACCTCGATTAATTTTACAGATCTCTCACTGGTGAATTTCATTCTTTTTCTGTGGAAAGTGTATGACAGAATCAAACCAAAAGAATTATACCAATATCAGTAGGCAAGTTATGTGTCTACTACGGAGCAGTTTTTGTTTCTTTATTTATGATACCAAGCTTCTTCTTAAGGCTACAATATTAACAGGGAGGAAATATTAAAGAATATGAAAAACTAATGGCAATGGTGGAATAAATGACAATACTGCAGCGTATGTCAAGCATCATCACCAACAGAATCACAATCAGAACAGAATACGTTAGTCAAAATTAATTTCAAATAACTATTCTAAGACTTCACAAACTTAATATTTATAATGATATATCATAATCTCTATTTGTATTAGCAAACTCGCTTCTACATTGGTCGATAATGTACAAAAAGTTTACCCTGTAAGTGGAATTCAGAATTTCGAAAAAAGTTATAAAAATCACGTTAATTAGATTGTATTCGAGGTCTGCAATTGACATTTTAACGAACTTAAGAACCTCGTAGTCCAATTTGAAAATTAATAAAAAAATGCATGAGCATGACTAATTGTGGATGGTAGATTTGTGCGAATAAGAATGGTAATCTTACCAAAAGGTGAAATGTCGAGGGCAGTTCTACGTGGGTTTCTCTCAACCGCAGTAGTTTGGTCGCCCTTGTTAAGATGTTGTACTTCCACAGAGTGGTCTTTGTTATCAGCAGAAGCCTGAAGCCTCATCCTTTCTAGCCTAGGAAACTCTTTCCTCGTCGGAAAAGAGGCCATGCAAGGTGTAACAACATTGTTCTTGGGTTTAGCAGAGTACCCTGTTTTTGGTGATAGTAGAAGTGATGAAGTTGACAGTGTTTGAGCCATTGGGATTGACGAAAGGAAAGGCAATGTGGGATTGATTAAGAATGAGCGATTTGTGTTGTTGATGAGTGTGAGATTTGGGAATTGTTGAATATATAGAGAGGGGATGTGAAAGGTGGAGAAGGGTCTTGAGAGTTTGAGAGGGAGTGTGAAAGTTCTGGACCCAACACTTGGACAACCTCGCTATTTGTTTGTTTTTATCTCACTACTACCACCTTCGGGAATGGTCTTCAAAAATTCTTTCACATATATTTTGTAATTGTTCCATTTTGTTCATTTATTTTGTAGAATTGACTAGAAAAAGAATAATGGGAAATGAGTGTTTCGTAAATTTCCAGAATCCATTCCTTTCTTTCCTCGTTTACTTGTTAAATGGCTGCCAACTCAAAACTTCAAAACTCGTGTGGAACTTGCTTTTTCAATCAAAATAAAAAGTTACAGTGAAATGGAGGGCTTTTTCTTTTACCTTTTATTTATATTTGAAGAAAGATTTATAAGAAACCTGAAAAAAAAAAGAAAAAAATACAAAATATATCCTTTCGTTTGGTTTCTTTTCTTCTTTCTTTCTTTCTTTTCTTTCTTTCTTTATTTCTTTTAATTATAATGTGTTTTGTCTACAACATAAAACAAAAAAGCAAAAAGTATAGTTATGAAGAAAAAGATACAGAAGAAAAGCAGATAATATAGGAAGCCCACAATAACATAGGGCTGACGAAGAGCTTTCTTCCTGCACCCCTACTTTCTCTTTATGCACCCCTACTTTCTCTTTATGCACCCCTAAATTAAAATACCAGTTTTACTCCTTAGTCAAAGTCAAAATCCTAGAGATCTCTTCCTTTCATTTTTCCTTGCATCCCATCTCTCCCTCTCAATAGTGTGTTCTTGAACCTCGAATTCTTTTTGAGTTCTTGCACCTTCCTCCAAGATCCTTGATTGATTGCACCTCCCTTCCCATCAATGAGTTCCAACATTTCTCTCCTTTGCAATCCCCTATGTCCTGCACTTTCATCTTGTCAGAGCGGTTGCAGTGGAAATGATTAGCATGAAATAAAAAATCAAGAGGGTTTTTAATACGAATGTGTGCCTTTTAATTTCTACTCAATTAAACTTACCAAGCAAATAAAAATAACAAATAAAGAGAGTAAGGTTGAGAGAAATTTGCACAGATTATTTTATCCTGGTTCAGATCTTACCAATCCTACATCCGGTCGCTTATCTCAAATCAAGATAAATAGTTCACTACTCACAAAACAATTACAAATTACAATCATAAAGAAACAATTTGTAAAATTTTAGAAATCACCTCTCTTGTTACCCCAAGAGATGAAAGTCACTTCCCCTATAACCCACAAAGGATTAACACCTCCTCTGAGTCTTCACAAAGGATGAACACCTCCTCCGAATACTTCACGAAGGATGATAGGCTTTTAACTCAACAACAACAACAACACTCAATCACACTCCCTTGTTTCATGCTCGATCGTTTCGTGATCACATTCACAGAGTTTGGTTGCAGCCGCTCGGTCACGATCGCTGCACGTTCAGACCCACTCGGTCAAGGTAACTTCTAGTTCAAAACACTCTTCTCTTCCTTTTCTAACAAGATAAATGAAAAGAAAGAAAGAGTAGACATATTTTCTTCTCTTATTTAAATAGTGCAAACAATTTAAAATAAATAGTAAAAATCAACTAAAAACTTTACGTTTATTATTAATTTAAAATTTTAGAAAGACATTTATTATTTATTAAAGGGTTAAATATGTTTTTAGTCCCTAAACTATTGGCCGTTTCTGGTTTTCGTCCCTCTTTCAAAGTAAGGTACAATTTGGTCCTCATTCTTTTCGAAAACGTTCGTTTTAGTCCTCGAAAACTAACACCGTTTAAAAAGTTGGTCCTCATTTAGCAACAAAATGAGGACTAAAACCAAAGTTCCGAGGACTAAAACGAACGTTTCGAAAAGAATGAGGACTAAATTGTACCTTACTTTGAAAGAGGGACGAAAACCAGAAACGACCAATAGTTTAGGGACTAAAAACATATTTAACCCTTTATTATTATATAATTTATCAGATTAAAATTTAACTTTTTAAACAACAATGAACACCTTTCATCCAAAATTACACAAAAAAAAAGTTAGAAAGAAAAAGAAAAGGATAGAATCCATGATTTTTTACATCTTTTCTTTAGGAGTTTCTTTTCAAACAAAAAAAGATATTGCAAATCAGTTCTAGATATTCCCTTTTCTGTTATTTTCCTTCTTAATTATCCAATAGGATACATAAGATTTTTATCAAAGAAATTATTTGCTATATATGCATTTTTTTCGGAATATAAAATGATAACTAAGTATTTTGAGACATTTAACTTCAAATGAATTTGCAGCTGCGAGTATTTATTGACTTTATCATGTTTTTCACAGATATTATCTATATTTCTTTTATGGGCACAGAGTATATCTACATTAATTAGACATGAATTTTAAGAATATTTATATGTATCCAGTTTATGAAAAAATAAAATCATATTTTAAGTATTTTGTACAAAAAGATTGGTTCGTGGAAGTTTCTGCACAGCAAAATAATAGCACAAGCGGCTTCCAACCCGAGGAAATATTTCAGTTATAAAACATTTGCTAACTGGGATCCAGTTGCAGACAAACATGACGGTCTACATTCGACTCATTTTGCTGTCATGTTTCCTTCTTCCTCATTTTCATGACATCGAATGCAACACAGACTCAGACAGAGATGCCCTTCTTTCTTTCAAATCCCAACTGAGTGATCCAAAGAATTCCCTGTCTGGTTGGACTTCAGATTCCAATCCCTGCATCTGGAGCGGTGTCACCTGCTCCCAAGTTGGAGGGAGGGTCCAATATCTCGGGCTATCAGGACTTGAACTTTCTGGAAAACTACACCCTCGCCTTTCCAACCTCACTTACCTTAACTCGCTTGATCTTTCCCACAACAATTTTCATGGTGAAATTCCCCACGAGTTTGGTAATCTCCATCGTCTCCTAGCATTACACTTGTCATCCAATAATCTTGGAGGTAAAGTACCTTCATCACTAGGCAACCTCATTTCCATTCAGAATCTTGTCCTGGCAGGGAATCGTTTTGTGGGTGAGATTCCCACTGAACTCGGGAATCTCCGCACTCTTTCCTACCTTGAACTTTCAGAGAACTACTTCTCTGGTGAGTTTCCAATTTCTATCTCCACTATCTCCTCCTTAAAGTCATTATCTGTTTCGAAGAACAATCTATCAGGCAAGTTGCCGCAAAATTTTGGCCATGCCCTTTCAAGTTTAACCTTTCTGTCTCTGGCATTCAATAGTTTTGATGGGGTAATTCCTAATTCCATATCCAATGCCTCGAACCTTCAATATATTGACCTTGCTAACAATAAATTTCATGGCTCCTTACCTCTATTCAACAACTTGCTAAACCTTACCTACTTGGCTCTTGATAATAACTTTCTCTCGTCCACGACCTCGTTGACTCTTCAGTTCTTTGATTCTCTCAGGAACTCCACCTTGTTGAACATGCTGAGGATTAATGATAACCATTTGGCTGGGGAGCTTCCAAGCTCTTTTGCGAATCTGTCTAGCGATCTCAAACTATTCCATGTTGGACAGAACTGGTTAACCGGCAACATTCCACATGGAATTAAGAAATTTCAAAATCTCCTCTCCTTGTCCTTTGAAAATAATTTTTTCACTGGAGAGTTACCATCAGAAATGGGAGCTCTACAGAGACTGCAGAATATTGATGTTCATGCGAACAGATTGTCCGGGGAAATTTCTAACATTTTTGGCAATTTAACAAATCTTTATACCCTTGCAATGGGAAATAATCAGTTCTCGGGCAGAATTCCCACAAGTATTAGACAATGCAAGGGGTTATTTTCTCTTGATTTGAGAATGAATAGGCTCATTGGGACCATACCAAAGGAGATCTTTCAGCTTTCTTCTTTAGCATCCTTGTATTTAGCTACAAATTTCCTGCATGGTTCGCTTCCTAATGAGGTCGGCACCATGACACAACTTGAGACATTGGATGTTTCTGGCAACCAGTTGTCAGGGAACATTCCTAAGGAAATAGAGTCCTGTTTCAGCTTGAAGACGCTTGTGATGGCAAGAAACAAATTCAGTGGAGCAATCCCAACTAATCTTGGGAATTTAGCATACCTTCAGACTTTGGATTTATCATCAAACAATCTCATTGGCCTTATTCCGGTAAGTTTAGAAAAGCTCCGTCATATACAGACATTAAATTTGTCTTTCAACCAGTTGGAAGGGGAGGTTCCAATTAATGTTGTTTCTATAAACATTAGCCAGTTTGATTTTCGAGGGAACAATCAACTGTGCAGCTCAAACAAGGAAATCATGCAGAATTTGGGAGTACTCCTGTGTGCTGTTGGTAAAAAGAAGAAAAAGATTCTAGTACCTATCATCCTTGCAGTTGTTGTTGCTACTGCTCTGTTAATTTCAATGCTACTTCTATTTTGGACAAAAACGTCCCGAAGGAAGAAAATAAATGAGAGGAAAACCGGGATATCAGTGGCTCCTTTCAGAGGGTTACCTCAAAAAATATCTTATGCTGATATTCGGATAGCAACAAATAATTTTGCAGCTGAAAACTTGATTGGAAAAGGAAGCTTTGGCTCTGTGTATAAGGGTGTTTTCAGCTTCAGCACAGGTGAAACTGCCACCCTTGCTGTGAAAGTCCTCGAGTTGCAACAAAGCAAAGCTTCTCGGAGTTTCAATGCTGAATGTGAGGTTTTGAAAAATGTTAGGCATCGCAACCTGGTGAAGGTTATCACTTCTTGTTGCAGCATTGATTATAAAGGACAGGAATTCAAGGCCCTCGTTCTGCAACTCATGCCCAATGGTAACTTGGACGTAAGCCTACACCCGGAAAACGAGTCCGGGGGATCCTTTCTAAACTTGCTGCAAAGATTGAACATTGCTATTGATGTTGCTTGTGCTATGGACTATTTGCACCATGATTGTGATCCACCAATACTGCATTGTGATCTGAAACCCGCCAATGTCCTTCTAGATGAAACTATGGCTGCACATGTTGCTGATTTTGGATTGTCAAGGTTTCTCTATCAAAATAGGCCCGAGAGGCAGAGTACCACTCTGGGAATGAAGGGATCAATCGGCTATATTGCCCCAGGTACAAATCAATGCTTTGCTTCCTTCGTAATAGAATTTTATTTTTCTTTTTAGTTCCCTTTTCTTGTTATTTGTGCATAACTGAGATACACGCACCTATGTCTGGCTCTAATAGTACTAGGATGATATGTTTCAGAATATGGTTTTGGAAGCAAGGCTTCAACTGAGGGTGATGTGTACAGTTTTGGGATTCTACTGCTAGAGATGTTCACAGGTAAAAGACCAACTGATGAAATGTTCAAAGAAGGGTTAAGCCTCCACAAATTTGTCTCAAGCATGGATGAGAATGAAGTAGTGAAGGTTGCTGATCGAAGGTTCATTGAAGATTATGAATATTCAACACAAAGCTCAAACAGTGATGATCATAGCAGTGGTTTAGACAGCAACACACATTGGTTGCATAAAGCTGAGGAGTGCATCGCTGATGCGTTAAGAGTTGGTCTGAGTTGCACAGTTGATCAACCCAAAGAACGATGGAGCATGAGAGAGGCCTCATCAAAATTGCAAGCTATTAAGCACTCTATGCTGACTTTTTGATGTTGGCCTCAAGGAGCAATTGCAGAAAAACTGCAACCGGTAACTCTTTTCCAAGAAAATAAATATACAAATATAAATATTTAACAAGTTATATTCTCCTTTTCTTTACTTTACAGATTTTATATGTTTTACTTCTTAAGAAATTCATACGTTGCGAGTCGTATTTTAGCTTGAAGATCTTATAATGTTTATTGATTTTGTCTCTTGGGTAACTTTTAGCATTAAAGTTGACAATTATTTATAGCGGTCAAAATGGATCACAATTCGCGGGTCAACCCAATTCACTACGGGTTTGAACCGGATTAGGTTTAAAAAAATTGTATTTTTTTTTATGCGGGTTAGATTTCAACCCGGCTCATTTAATCTTGGCTCATGCGGGTTGAACCCGTGGTAGGCCAGGTTGACTCACTAACCCACCTACCTAATTTTATTTTATTAAAATTTAATTTTAATTTTATAAAAAAATATTTATTATTTTGTTTTTGCTTGAAAAAATTATTTAAGTTCCTTATTTTCAAAATTAATTAAACACTCATGTTAGAAGTGAAATTTGGGAGTGAAATTTGTTTAGATTTGAATTATAGAAAGTTTGTAATTTTTTTATTTTAAAAAAATTGTAATTAAGTGAGCTAGTGAGCCAACCCGTGGTGGGTCGGAGCGGGTTCGAATTTTTCTGGCTCGCTAATAAATGAGCTGGGTTGGGTTGACTCACTAAGTGACCAGCCCGTAGTAGGCCGGGCCGAGTCGAGCCGAGTAGCCCGTTTTGACAGTTCTACAATTATTATTAAATATGCTTAAATGCATACTTGGTCTTTAAGCGTTAAATGCATTAAATTGGTAAAAACATCGTTAAATGTTAATTGACGGGGCAAAATATATAAAATTTAAATACTTATTTATTTACCCTAACCAATTTAATTATTAATTTTATTTTAATTTTGCTATAATTTCCTTGATGTAACACAGGGTATGACATAGCATGGTTGAGTCAGAACCTCCTTTTTTTAGACCCACTCCTCCTGCTCCTCCCTTGGCATCCACACCATTTTCATTATCTACGCCATTGGGCCAGTTTAACGGCCCCTTAGTGCCTCAAATACTCAAGCACCTCCCCTGTTTCCTCCACCCATGGGACAATCAACATTTCAACCTTCTGCGAATCAAACTCAGTCTTTTTCGACTTCTCTTCCACCTCAGTCGCACACGCCTTTTGATACAGTAGCATTAGCATTGGAAGAAAAGTAAACCTTAAGTAAGATGCCGAAGAAGATGGGGGTGTGAACACCAAGGCAGAGGCAGCGAGGGCGCGTAAGAGCACAGCGAAAACGGAGCGCAAGGAGAATGAGACTCGATAAAAGGAGGATCAATACGGGCAAGAGGCCGAGGGCTCCAAGTCACAAGCTATAAAGAAGAAGGAGGAAGAGGCCAAAAAGAGGGCCGAAGCAGCCGCGCGTCGGGCAAAGACGTGTAGGTTGGCGGAGCAGGAAGAGAAGGAGCTGCAAAGGCGATGAAAAAGGTGGACAAGAAGGCAAACCTAGTATCGATATCCATGTCGAAGGTGACAGAGGTGGAGTTGAGGCGACAGCGGGAAGAGGAGCAGGCAGAGGCTGAGAGGAAGGCGGAGGAGGTGAAGAAGCGGCAGAGTCGCACTACTGTAGAGGATGAGTACGAGAGAATGGTTTTGGTGTCCAACACTAATCGCGAAGATTCTATTATCGAAGCGAGATCTTTGGATGATGCCATCGCTTAGATGACTGTTGTCGACAACTTGCCCTCGATCGCCATCCCGAGAGGCGCCTCAAGGCCTTCTTCTTGGTATAAATTCATTCTATTTTCACCTTTTATCATTTATTTGATTTGATTAGCTAACCATACCTTGCAGGTATAAATTCCATGGAAGACAAAGGAGCAACCCGCAGCCCCACCATTGTAGAACGAAGAGAAAAGGAAATTGGGAGAGATTGAGGTTTGCAAACCCGCTAGAGAACAAGACCATTGGAGATTTATTTTCCAATTAAAAACCCTAAACTTTCAATATACATGTAACATAAACTCTGTCACGTCAATTTAGGTCAATTGAATTTAGGTCAACTGAATTTAGATAAGCTAAATGTCACTTCAACATTTAATATGTAGTTATTATAGGTACCAAGTGAGCATTTAAGCCTATTAAATATCATATAATATGATCATTCAATTAGGGATTGGTATTCATATAGTAAAATATCTCATATGTAGTTAAAATACTCCTTTTGTCAAATAGGATGGAATACCTACCATCTCATGTTATTTGTATTTTAATGTACACTTTTAAAGTATATTTATTATACAAATTATAATAATAGACATTTTCCTTTGATGAAAATGTTTTTATTGGGAGAAATAGAATGTAACCAACAATTATTTGAGTTCTTATAACAAATTATATTAGTAGAAATAGTTAATAAGTTTTATTTTGTAAATAAAATATAGTCAAATAAACTAAATCATTAAAAATGACAAATAATGAAACATGAAGTTACTTATATTTGTACAAATTTTATAGGAATTATGAACTTTTCAGTTTTCCTGTTTTTCTTTATCGTTGTATTTAACCTTTTTTAACTAATTAATTAATTTCCTAATTTATACAATGCACTTAATTTACAAAATATCAGCATTTCATTAAAATGTTAAAGTCGTTTCTTTTCTCATAACCTCAAAAAAATAATCATATTCAAGCATGAAAGAAATTTTTGAAAAGTATACGGGTTTAGAGGGATAGAAATAAAAGAAAAACAAGAGTATAATTTTTTTCTTCACTTATTTAAAATAGTTAAAAAATATGATTTTTTTTTTTGCGATGATCACCTTATCGAAATGAGCAGATAAAGAATAAGTGTTGATATGTCTTTAGTAGAAGATGGTGATTATGTGAAGTAGTTTTCTTCGATTTATATTACACTATTACAAGCTTTTTTTGATTTATAGTATACT